AGTCTGGTTGAGAGACTGAGCATGTTCCTGAACTGGAATTGCAGCCTATTGCTTCTTTAATAAACCCCATAATTTGTGAGTTCTGTGTGGCCACTGCAGTGAATTGTCAAACCCAGCAAAGAGTTGGTGAGTGCTTTAGGAAGGACGGTTGGTATCAGGATGATAAGGCGGCTGGAGAGTGGCAGCATGTGTAACCTCATAGGAACAGGCCTTAGGCTGCTGATGGTAATTCTGTCTTTCTCTTGCGTAGTTAGAGCAGGCTAGAAGATGCTGCTTCCTTATCCCTTTAGAAAGTTTATAAGCATTAATCCCTTTTAACCCACTCTCCTGCCATAGGATTCCAGGGACCTAAGAACAGGCAGTGAGGCGGGAAGCAGGGAGAGAACAGAAAAAGCAAAGGGGACTGGAGCAGATGGAGGGGTCAAACGCAGGGACCCAGGTGAGGAGAAGGGAGCCCAGGCCACGTCCCACAAGGAGCAAGGCGGGAAGGCCACGAGAGGACAGAAAAGGCAAAGGGGACCGAAACAGATCGAGGAGTCAACCGCAGGGAGACAGGTGAAGAGATGAAACTCAGGCCACTCCCCACAGGCAGCGAGGCTGGAAGGCAGGGAAAGGACAGAAAAGGCAAAGGGGATAGGAACAGATCGAGGAGTGAGTTGCAGGGATCCAGGTGAGAAGAGGGAACCCAGGCCACCCACCAAGAGCAGCAAGACGGGAAGCAGGGAGAGGACAGAAAAGGCAAAGGGGATAGGAACAGATTGAGGAGTTAGCCACAGGGATCTAGTAAGGGTGGTTGGAGGGGTTTCCAACAGCTAAGGGAGACAAACTTGTCTGTTGGTTTGTCCTACTGTGGTGACGTGTTGCTGTGAGTCAAGAGGTTGTGCCATTGGTGTTTCAAACCCAGTGGGGTTCACCTGTTGCACAGGTATCAGCCTAGCTTGCAGACTGAGACAAACTAGAAAGGAGGAGGAGACTGTCCGCTTCTCAAAGAATTGGCCACGGAAAACCTTATGAATAGCAGAGAAACATTGTCTGATACGTTACTGCGCAACTTTATGAATAGTCCAGAAACATTGTCCAATACAGAGGAGGAATATGAGTCA